TGTTGAGGAAAGATACAAGCAAGCCACAGACACCTACTGTATGGGCTTCTTAAGGCTGCCATGGCAAAGTGCCACAAACCGGGTGGCTTAAAATAATACAACTTTATTGCCTCACAGTCTTGGAGCCTGGAAGTCTGAAATCAAGGTGTCAGCAGGTTGGATCCTTTCCGAAGGCTGTGAGGGAGAATCCACTCTGTGCCTCCTCGTGCTTCTGGTGGTGCTGACAATCTTAGCCACCTCTTGCCTTGTAGACACAACACTGTATCTCTCCCTGATCTTCACATGGCATTCTTCCTGTTTTCCTTCACATAGTCTTCCAGAAGTCTCTGTGCATGTCATTTGTGTTCAGATTTCCCCTTTTATGAGGACACCAGTCATACTGCATTTCAGCCCACCCTAACTACCTCGTTGTAACTTTTTCATCTCTCTGAAGACCTTACTTCTGAGTGAGGTCTCATTTTGATGTACTAGAAGTTAGGATGTCAACATATTTGTTTTGGGCAACACAATTCAACTCATAACATCTTCCATACTCTCAAAGACTTACAGAGTAGTAAGCGGGATCCATAGGCTTGGCATCTGCGGTGAAAAAGAATCTGTTTTCTCAGCCACATGCAGTAGTTCCTCCTCTCCAACATGTTTAGGAGTCTGTGTCCAATGAGGGAAAACTTTTGCAGAAGGGTCAGAGCTGAAAGCCTTTACTGAGAATGTTGAGGGCTGGGATGAGGCTTCTCTTGTGCCTTCCATAACTTGACCATAAGGTAGAGCTGTCAGTGGGTGCTTAAAGACTAAAGACATTTAAATTTATCCAGCAGAGAAGCTCACTCTTCTCAGACCTCTGCCTCCCATCTGGGCTGTTCTAGGGAGCGCTTGCCCTGAGAAATCCTCTCCCATGATCCAGCAAGACTGTTTTCATAGGTAAGGCATAACTACACATATTATTCCAGCCCAGCATCCCTCTCTGTTGCCAACGAACATATCTGTGCTGCAAAATGTCTATAAATTATCTACTAAATGTTCAACTTGTTATTTTTAAAAATTAGCTTATAGATTTTAAGTGCCAAGTAGAATATCACATGTAGCCTGTAATTTAGGGGAATAGGGTATTTGAGGTGATCGGATTTAACAAAACAGGATTACCTTAATACCCATGCATCCATTTTGTGTTTTCAGAAAGTTTAAATACATCCCAACTCAGTGTGATTTCTAAATAATCCTTCTTTAAGTGCCTTTTCTTCACTCATTCATTCAGTATCATCCGTTTATACATATGAGGAGCCGTTCTAGGCTCCAGAATAAACAAGAAAACAAGGCCCCTTCATTCAGTCTTCAGAGAAATACAGACAAGTAGTGATTACATTAAAATATAAATGCCAGAATTGAGGAAAACAGTTTCTTTAGAAGCATAGAATAACACAACTGATCTAATAAAGATGCCAGGCAGGGATGGCTTCCTATAGGAAGGTCCTTTAAACTGAGACTTATAAGACTTGTTGGTTAATTGATATTCATGTACACATATGTATATATCACCTCACATTCTCCTTACTCAAGGATAAAAGGTGAATCATAAAAAAAAAATCCAAGTAAATGTCTTTATATGAAAAATACCTTACATGCTTTTAGGAAGAATCATATTTAATCAGTAGTCATAGGTAGGTTGCCATCTGTATTATATAAAATATTTGTAATTCAATACAAATTCAGGTCTTTTAAAAATGTGCTACACCATGGAATACTATGCAGCCATAAAAAAGAATGAGATCATGTCCTTTTTCAGTGACATGGGTCAGGCAGGAAGCTATTATCCTCAGCAAACTAACACAGGAGCAGAAAACAAAACACCACATGTTCTCACTCTTAATTTGGAACTGAACAATGAGAACACATGGACACAGGGAAGGAAACAACCCACACCAGGACCTGTGGGGGCTGCTGGGGGAAGGAGAGCATTAGGATAAATAGCTAATGCATGTGGGGCTTATTACCTAGGTAATGGGTTGACAGGTGCAACAAACCACCATGGCACATCTTTACCTATGTAACAAATCTGCACATATATCCTGACACTTTAAATAAAATTAAATATAGAAAATAAAATAAATTCAGGTATATTAAATTTAAATATTAGCAAACAAATAAAGCCAAGTCCTGCTATCAGCATGTCCCATCCATAAATTACCAAGTAGTTAATATTCCTTTTCACATATATTTCTTTCTTTTAACACTAAAAATGAACAAATAAATAAAAAGGCAATAGTAGCAAAATCCCATGGAAAGGATGATTTTTCTGAGTGGTAATCATCTAGCGAGTAGGAGTCAGGAGCTTTGTGACTGTAGGACACTAACCTCAAGATCATTGGCAGCCTCAACAGGCCACTGCGGTCTGCGGCTCTTTGCAATACCTACTCAAACCATAGTAATGAAAAGACACACATTATGCTGTGGCTTCTGACATAGGTATTATTTAACCACTTTCTGAGTCAATCCAGTCCTTTAAGGACTCTTAACTTTTATGAACAAGATCAAAGGGACTGTCTTGATTGTTCCAGTCTTCAAGTTGTTTCTGGAGGTGTTCCAATAAAACAGTGAATTGAATAGTGTCCCCTCAAAAATAATCTCCATCTACAATCTCAGAATGTGACCTTATTTGGAAGTAGAGTTTTTGCAGATGTCGTTAAGAATTTTGTATTGGCCCATTCTTGCCTTGCTACAAAGAAATACCTGAGACTGGAAAATTTATAAAGAAAAGAAGCTTAATTGCTTTTGGTTCTGCAGGCTATACAGGAAGCTGTATATGGTGCTGGCATATGCTTGGGTTTTGGGAGGCCTCAGGAAACTTACAATCATGGTGGAAGGGAGAAGGGAAGCAAGCATATCACATGGCCTGAGCAGAAATGAGAGAGCTAGTCGGGGAGGTGCTATACACTTTTAGACCACCAGATCTCATGAGAACTCACTACCATGAGAATAGCACCAAGGGGATGGTACTAAACCATTCATAAGAAATCCACCCCCATGGTCCAGTGACCTCTCACCAGGCCCTACCTCCAACATCAGGAAGTTTAGTACTTTAGCGTGAGATTTGGGCAAAGACACATATGCAAACTATGTTAGATTTCGAGGTGAAACCGTCCCAGAATTAGGATAGACTGGTTTCCTCGTAAGAGGATATAACTCAGAAAAGCCACATGAAGGCCAAGGTGGGCAGAGACTGGAGTGATATTGGCATGAGCCAACAAACACCTGGGGCCACCAGGAGCTGAAAGAGGCAAGGAAGGATTGTTCCCTAGAGCCGTCTGAGGGAAGTGGCCCTGCTAACACCTTGCTATCAGATATCCAGCCTCCAAAACAGTGAGATCTTCAATGTCCATTGTTTGAAGCTACCCAGTTTGTGGTCCTTTGTTATGGCAACCCTGGGAAACTAATACAAGAGACCTGGACTCTTCTCTGTGGGCATCTCGTCATTATTGCCCTGCTTTTATCCTGTCTACTCTTCCTTTATCTCTTGTGGCAAAATAATGTAAGTGCCTCAAAGAGCTAATCTTCTACAAGGCCTATTCAGCATGTAGAACCCCTGTTCATTTTACTGCATTTAGTTACACAACTTTATCAAGGCATAATTCAGCCTTGAAGAGGTCTGATCCTAGTCCTGGTCACCCTCAAAACAATTCACCGTTCTGATAGTGTTTTTGATGGTTACTGAACACTTCCACCTTCCTGGTGTGTGATTGGACAGTCTGAGATTCCAGTTGAGATTATGCCATCGATCTCATCTGCCTCCAAAAACCAAGCAACAATCAACAGAAGTAAATACTATTTATTATTTTATTGAGAATTAAAAGAAATGCAACGTGGAAATTACTGCACACAAATGCTTCTACTGAAACAGAAAGTAAGAACATGGAGCCAGGATCTTAGGGCCACGGGGAAAGAATAGCAGTCGGGAAATCAGAGGATGGAAGTTCAGCCCCTCCTCGTCCACTGCCCTCTGTGAGCAAGAATGGGCTTTGGGACCGGGCGCGGTGGCTCACGCTTGTAATCCCAGCACTTTGGGAGGCCGAGGCGGGTGGATCACGAGGTCAAGAGATCGAGACCATCCTGGTCAACATGGTGAAACCCCGTCTCTACTAAAAATACAAAAAATCAGCTGGGCATGGTGACGCGTGCCTGTAATCCCAACTACTCAGGAGGCTGAGGCAGGAGAATTGCCTGAACCCAGGAGGCGGAGGTTGCGGTGAGCGGAGATCGCGCCATTGCACTCCAGCCTGGGTAACAAGAGCGAAACTCCGTCTCAAAAAAAAAAAATAAGAATGGGCTTTGGTTTTCTCATCGATGAAGGAGTAGGGTTTCATGATTTATAAGGCCCGGAGATGGCCACTGCCTGGGCAGTACCACTCCATCACTTCGCCTGCCTTGTGTCCTCTGCCTGCCTGAGGGAACCTGCCCTATCACTCTGTCCTTGGGGCTGGTCAGTCCTGGGGGCACATTGGCCTCTGTACCCTGGTTCCCACCAGCTCTCTCCTGCCACTGAGACCACCTCCTGCCTAACACTCCACATTTCTTATATTTTCCCCAAGAGGCTCCCCACATCACCACCTATGACATGCAACAACACAACAATCTTTCTTCTCCCCATAGAGCTCATCCTAATTCATACCAAACGGTTACCATACTGCATTTCTTTTGTCTTTTTTTTTTCTTTTTTGTTTATTTTTTGAGACAGAATCTCGCTCTGTCACCCAGGTTGGAGTGCACTGACGTGATCTTGGCTCACTGCAACCTCTACCTCCAAGGTTCAAGTGATTCTTATGACTCAGCCTCCCAAGTAGCTGGGATTACAGGTGCGTACACCACCATTCCTGGCTAATTTTTGTATTTTTAGTAGAGATGGGGTTTTCCATGTTAGCCAGGCTGGCCTAGAACTCCCAGCCTTAAGTGATCCGCCCACCTCCGCCTCCCAAAGTGCTGTGACTACAGGCGTGAGTCACCACGCCCAGCCTCATACTGGATTTCTAACCATGCTCTTTCATTTTCTTGATGACAACATGATACAGGATTATATGAAGGACATGCTTCTATATAGTGAAGCACCACTTAATGATGGGGATACCTTCTCAGAAGTGTGTCCTTAGGAGATTTCATCCTTGTGCAAACATCATAGAATGTACTTACCCAAACCTAAATGAAACAGCCTACCACTACACACCTAGGATATATGGCACAGCCAATTGCTCCTAGGTTACCAGCCTGTACTGCATGTTACTGTACTGAATACTGTAGACAGTTGTAACACAATGTAAGTATTTGTGTATCTAAAAATAGAAAAGGTACAGCAAAAATACAGTGTTATCATCTTATGGGACCACCATCATGGAATGTTGTTATGCAGCACATGACTGTATTTCTAAAGTGTGTATTAGTGGTTTAAGTTGATCTTTGAGCTAGCAGTCCAGTTACCCAGCTATACCCAGCTGTGCATTGTATCATCCGGGGCCCCAGCGACAGCACTGATTGTTAATTTATTGTGGCTGCTATGGGCTGAAAGGCAACCTGTGCAGGAAGGGTATGCAGCATAGGGGAGTGAATTGGATGTACCTGGAGGAAAATGGACTGTTTTGTGTCTTTTGCTGTCCACGGTCATTTGCCAGCCATTTGCCTACCTGCCTCCCACAGATAAGTAATTCATGGCAATGTTTATTATTGATAATAATGGCAGTTATTCATATAATAACAACAGTTATTGTTAGTGGTGAGAAACAGTAAATATTTACAATGAATGGTAACTGTTTAGATGGGTGGCTGGAGGAAATAAGTATAAAAGGTGAGAATGGGTAGAGTAGTGGAGGAGATAAGGGGAGATGATGCCAAAGGCATACTCCAGAGATGTCCAAGCAGTGTTGGAATCATCCCTGTACTGAGCCATGGGCAAGCTGAAAAGTTACTACATCTGAGTATGGGGAAACTTCTTTTTTCATTTATTTTCCCTTTCAAAAAGGAATAGAACCAACTCTTGGCGTTAATCAATAAACTAACATTATTTTTGCTGCTGCCTTTCTCAAATGACTTGTGAGATTAAATCATTTGAGAAAAGCATCAAAAATAATGTTAGTTATTGTCTTGTCCCACTGTTTCTTTTTCTTTACTTTTTCTATCCTTCCTAAGGACAATGTCACATGTGAAAGTGTAAATTAAATACATAAATATCAAATTTTGGGAAAGTTGATGATAGGAACATGTGGTCTTTATGACTAAAGGAGGCACCCAGAAATGTGTGTCATGAGGGAAAAGAGTTACACTGTTTATCATCTCATTAATCTTATGTACTCTGTGACAAATAGCCTTGCTGTTGCTTTTCAGCTTATTGAAGTACTTACTGATGCATGCTTTGAAAACTGGTGGCCGAGCATGGTGGCTCACGCCTGACATCCCAGTACTTTGGATGGCTGAGGTAGGAGCATCGCTGGAGCCCAAAAGTTTGAGACCAGCTTGGACAACATTAACGAGACCCGATCTCTACAAAACAATTTTTTAAAACTTAGCCAGGCATGATGGCATGCATCTGCAGTCAGGAAGATGAGGAGGGAGGATCACTTGAGTCCAGGATTTTGAGGCTGCAGTGAGCTATGATCATGCCACTGCACTCCAGCCTGGGCAACAGAGTAAGACCCTGTCCCAAACAAAAAAAAAGAAAAAAGAAAAAGAAAAGAAAATCACAAAACTGCTGACATTTTCTACCATAATTCCTTAATGAAAATGAAAAAGAATCTCCATTTTCCTCCCTTTCTCTACTGCTCTTTTGTCCATCATTTACCATTTTATCATTTCTGCCTGATTTTTTAATCTTTTCTATTAATTTTTTTCTTACACTTTTTTAATCTTATTTTATGAGTTAATATGTGCTTAAAATTTTATTGATAAAACATACAACATACTCCTGCTGATTTGTTTTTTTTTTCTTTTTTTATTGCATGTTAGGTTTTGGGGTACATGTGAAGAACATGCAATATTGTTGCATAGGTACACACATGGCAGTGTGATGTGCTGCCTTCCTCCCCATCACCTATATCTGGCATTTCTCCCCATGCTATCTCTCCCCACCTCCCCACCCCCCCGTCCCTCCCCCAT